ATATGATGAATTGTTATTTTTTGGAGCCAAAACGAGCCGAAAATGAACGAACAAATATTTGTTCGTGTTGTTTGTGTTCGGCTCGTTAACTTAGCGAACGAGCCTAACACGAGCTTCTTAACGAGCCGAACACGAGCTGTTCGCGAATAACGAGCCGTTTTGATAGCCCTACCAAAAATATTGTTATTTAAATAAAAAATATCAACATTTCAATTTTTAAAAAGTGAAATATATATTTATATTTATGTTCATACCATCTAAGTTTTTCATACAACATAAAAAATGTCATCATTTTAATTTCTTAAAAGTGAAATACATATTTTTATGCACAAAAAAAGTGGCATATATGTAAAAATTGAAGTTTAAGTGTTAGATGTGTAAATACATATAAATTGAGTGATATATATGTAAATCTTCTTAGAATGTATTAAAATTTATGATTATTTTAATAATACCGTTTGCATTTTAAGATATTTCCCCACAAAGAAATGTAATTTTTAACAAATTTTAGTTATAATTATGATTAACAATTAACAATTTTTAATTATGTAAATTTTAAAATAATAGCCAGGGCGTTTTGGCAAATATAACACGCCGCTCCGCACAACTGCTACACTACCAGTAGCAGTTAGCAGAGACTGAGGCGGGCGGAGAGCCGAGGCCTGCTTCTAGTCGAAGGTTCGAGTGCTGGAGCCGTCACCTTGTTCACCGATGAGCACGACGGCTTTAGCTGATATTGGCAAGCGCTGCGGCGTTGAAGAATGCAAGCTCATCGACTTCCTCCCCTTCAACTGCGACCGATGCGATCAGGTATGTGACTCTTCTTCTTCTTCTTCTTCGACTGTCATTCTTGAATATCTGGTTTTCTGTTTTGGATTCCTATCCATGGAATGGGGAGACGGCATCAATTTTTTGGGGTTCCCTGGAAATTAAATTGATGTGTCGGAATGGGTCTGCATCGTGCTTAATCGGACAGGCACGCATTGTACGAAATAGCCTTTTCGATTGAATCTTTGTTTGTTGTGGTATTGGATTCATGTTCTATTTTTGGTAGTGCCGGCTCGGTGATTCTTTGGGATATTGGGTTTTTAGTTCTTTGAAGTTGCTCAGTTTGAGCCTGGCATTGGGCAAATACAGCAGCATTTGCCACATTGATTTCGTTTTGATATATATATATATATATATATATATATATATATATTTGATTGATTAAGAATATTTTCTCTGGCACTTGTAAGTTATTTCTAGAATTATATAGGGCTTATTATGTGATGAACAGGTCTTGTAATAATTAGATTACTGAATCGGCTAATCTGGCTGTTGAGTTATAGAAAATATTTTTAAGATTCATAAGAACATTAGATTTTCATCCTATGTTCAGTAAATTCACGTGGCTCGTACCCAATAAAATATTAAAATTATTTGAGCAATTTAGGATTTTACTAACACACTTAACATGAAGAGGACAAGAAAGAAAGATAAATAGCGAGAACTGTTAGATATGGCTTATAGATGCTGTAGCGGAACAGAGCGAGACAGTGGAGTGGAGTCCAATTGGGAGAGTTTCGTTAAGTAGGTTGGGGGATACGGTACAGGGGTATTTGTGTAATTTTATATGTGGGTTTTATCTATATATTTGATTTGCAACCGTATGGGTGTGAACTGATTTTTCTGGAATAGTGAAGCCGCTCTGGTCCCGAGGACGTTGGCACAAATTGCTGAACCCCGCAAATTCTTTTGTTCTTGATTTTCATTTTTCTTCTTCTTTGGATTTTCAACTTCAAGAACTATTTGGATTTTACTATAATAAATCACTAGAGCACAAACCCCAAATTGGCTATGATCCCCTCTTCCCTTGGCATTCCCTGTAATTACCTGACTACAAGTTTGTGATTAGGGTTCAAGCGTTTGAAGGAGTTTACTTGTCAAGTTATATGATAAGAAAAGTATAAAACAAGCCTTAATGAACACTTGCTATTAAATACATGCGTTGTATAGCCCAACCAAGACCTCCAACTCAGGTCATTGAGTAGCTAATTTAATTTGTGGAAGTCACCGGCTTAGTATGCTTAGTCATCCACTTGCTGAAGTCACTTGCTAGTGAGTTTCTCATGATCTTAAGCAAGTACAATAGATCTTAGATGAATACCCTTGAAATTATCTTTGAACGAGTGAACTCTGGTGAGTTCACCATGCTTTAGCAAGTTTTGAGCTTCTTCTTAGCGAGTTTATAATGACCCAAGCCAATTCATATTGATTTGGACAAGTTCATGCAGGCTTTTAACATTCTCGAACAGTTCTATGACTTTAGTATTTTTCTTTTAAACTTTGACCAAATTATCCTAAAGTGATCTGCATAAATATCATTAAGCACAAATTTATCTTTTATTGTTTCCCAAATTATCCTCTTTTAATGATGTACTAATTCCTTAAGAAATACTTGTGTAATAAGAAACTTTTTATTTTCATACTCATAAGGCTTATAAAATTTATTGAAAATACTTTTAAAATAAAGTTCTTAGTGCTGTATAATTTAGTGAAGATGGTTTGTATATCGAACATAAAATACCAAGGCTTTAAAAATTAGATCAAACCAGTTGATTCAATTGTTTCAATCGTGAATATGGCATATGACCGGTCTGGGCAGCCTCAAAAACTATTTTCGAATTGAATTGGTGAAAATCGGTGTACGTCATCGGTTGAACCAACAACTGGTGAACCGATCTCGTTATATTGAACCAGTCGGTCCAAATTACCTTCTAAATTAGCTTTATTTCACAATTAAGTGATTAAAAAATATTTCTTATAGAACTTAATTCTATTAATTATATTTTGTCAAACATATGATTATGAATTTAAAAATCATAAATCTAATAATTAATATGTGTTTAATTTAATTAATTCACCACATGCCCTTCACTTGGATGACTTAAGAGCTCAAGTTATAAAACTATTTTTTTTCTGCGAAAAACTGTAAAATGCCAAGTCTCTTTCATAATATGATACTAGAAAATTGTGAGTGTTTAAATATAAGTTGTTCTACAAAATAAAGAATTGAGTTGGTGATATCAGAGTTAACTCAAATCACAATAGTAAAAAAAAAATATTAAAAGTAAATAGGTGGTTAGAACCAACACACGACACACAAACTTAACTAAGGTAGATCAGGGGTAGTAGTGATGATCAATAGAGGCTTGGAGAGGCACTAACAAGGGGGTGGGTGGATTGGTCAATGAAGAAGCAATGGTTAAGGGCGGTTCTTGGCGGCGGGAACAACAACTGGGTTGTGGAAGGTGGTTCGGCGGTGGGGAAAACAACGAGATGACATGAGAAATAGTTATGGGTGGGTGAACAACAGTGGTTGTGCAGGGGAAGTGTTGGAACAATAGCAAGGTTGCAGGGTTACGGTTCAGAGATTGGAACAACAGTAGAAAAAAAGATAGGGGCTTACGGGGGTGCGAAAATGTAGAAGGCTGGGAGCTATAAAGCACCTGCGCCTCCAAAAAGAAGCCATACTCGTGTCCAACACGTATTTGAGACAGATACGGCCCTGACACCGGCTAATGCGTGTCCGACACTCTACTAAACTTATCAGAGCTGTCTAATTAATTTGTCACTTACCAGACACACTGCTCAGACATGGCTCAACATAAGGGAAGATAAATTCAAGTGTTATTGAAGCAGCGACAAAAAAAAAAAAATAATAGTAATTGCGATGTTCTGTAGGTAGGGGTGTAAAAGAGCCAAACACGAGCGAGTCCAGGCTCAGCTGGTGATTGGCTCGTTTATATTTCGAGCTCAGAAAGAGTATTCGTGTTCGGCTCGTTTGCTTAACGAGTCGAACACGAGCCGTTCACGAACAAAGAGTCATTTTGACAACCCTAATCACATAGTCATAAGATGTTAAGGATTGAGACAAGATTTAAAACATCATTTGAATATAGTTTACTAATTTTTATTCTAATTTTTTCATTAATACTTTTAATTGATTATAAATCTTTGTAGCCTTGTAGTCAATTAATTTTTTTAAAAATATTACTCATCAAAGATATATATATATAATTGTTTAGTAGTATTTCGAGCTAAAACGACACGAACGAACAAATATTTATTCGTGTTGTTCGTGTTCGGCTGTTGGCGAACAGCGAGTCATTTTGACAGCCCTATCTATAGGTATTATCGTCTTACTATCAACTGCGGGGCAGTCGTCAAGTGTCACTAGTCGAAGCAACGGAGTCGCCGAGCAGCCATGATCAATGAAAAGGAGTTACTGAGCAGCCTTAATCAAAGCGAGGGGGTCTTCGATGCAATCTAAAGCTTTGACTTTAGCCAGGGCGTGCTCCAGAGCACGATACAAATTTTCATGTGATCCAGAGCTTCAACGCAAGCTAGAGACTATCCAGAGTTTTGACTCCAGCTAGGGCATGATCCAGAGCACGATAAAGAGCTTCCACACAATCTCACATGCGTTCTAGAGCTTCGACGCAGTCTAGGGGACAATCCAGTGCATATGCATGAGCTGAGGGACAATCCACGCATGCGAGTTTGACAGTTAAACTTGGTGCTTTGTCCCTTATTTATTTTTCTTCTTTTTTTGCGATGGTAATTTTGTAACATGAAATTCTTATGTATTTACCTATCTCACACCAAAACTTTGATTTTTTCCTGCATACCACTTTATCTATGTATGAACAGGTAGATTTGGTTCAATGATTTGTGAATGTTGATAAGTTGTGGTTGTTTTGATAAATTTTAAGTGATAGTGAAAGAATTTAGTGGTATGAAGGTAAATCTAATAAGAAATTATGTCTAGATCCTAATGTTGAAATTTTGAACTCTTCATTCACTGATTAATATAGGCATCAGCTCTAAGCCTCTAACATTTGAATAAACAACACAAACCAATTAGTACTTGAATTAATATGATAATTACTACAAGTGTCTCTAACAATCCCATAAATGACAAAACAAAGCTTGTATTGGCATATGTAGAGATATTGGGATCAATCGGAGTATGAGACAATATAGAATTTCAATGTCATTTTTTGTCAAGGAAAGTTCAAGGGAACATATTCTAGGGTTAGAGCACACTTGTTTCGACAATTTGCAGTTGGTATTCGAGCATGTATTAAAGTAATTTTGACAAAAATTCATGAAATGCAGAAGTCAGATGCTCATGTATAACACAAAAAAAAGAATGATGCATTTAAAATGGATCCACTTACTTTTTATGGGCAAAGTGGTTCTAATTAGTTGTATAGCTCTCAGTCAAATAGACATTTATTTAGAGCAGAAAGTTATGATTGCAATCAAAAGAAAAAAATTGTCGTACAATAGTGTTATTGAAATAGCATTTAATTTGCAAGTTAGAGATTGTTTACATGAAGAAATCACTCTAATGTTTTATTTTGTAGCTCTTTCATTTCATTTGATAAGAAATACATATTATTTTAGTGTGTTATCATATGCAGCCAACAATATAATCACTGGATATATTTCTTCTAGTTGTAATCTATTTATAACAACCTTGTTTCAAAAAGAGATGACACAAGTTGATAGAATGCTTGAGCCTATCAAGAAGACTTGAAATGAGAAAGGAGTTGCCATAAGCCATAATTTCTTATGGTTAGACAGATGTGTAAAAAAAGTCCTATTAAATTCATGTGAGTCACAAAATCTAGATTAATATTTATAAAACTACCAACTGTGAAGCGGCATATAAAGTTAAATTTTACATTGTCGATGAAATTAAAGTAGTAATTGCAGCCGTAGGTTTAGATAAAGTGGTTAAAGTAATTATTGATAATGCACATGTGCAGAGTTGCAGGAGTATTGATTGAGGCTCAATATCTATATATTTTTTGGACTCTTTGCGTTGTTCATGCATTAAAATTAACATTGAAAAATATTTGTGTTTCAAAAGACATCAAAGGAAATGAGACAACTTGTGAGAAATGGAATAGAATAATTGACATTACGAGAGATGTCAATTTTATAAAAAAATTTATTATGAATTATTGAATGAGATTATCAATGTTTAATGAGTTTGAAAATTGAAAATGTTGACCATTGCAGATCCCGTTTTACATCAAGTATAGTATGCTTGGGAGATGCAAAATAAAAAAATAAAGGCTACAAATAATGTTGATCAGGGAGGAGTGAAATATGTATCATGAAGATGATATAAGCAAGACAAAATTTGTGAAGTAAAAAATCTTGAATGATTTGTGGTGGGATAAAATTAATTATGTTATTGATTTTATAGAACCTACGCATGACATGCTGAGATTGACTGATACAGATAAACTGTCTCGAACTTATCTACGATATATGAGATTCTATGATAGAAAATATGAAATATATTATATATCGACACCAGGTAAAGAGAGATAATGAAAACTCCAATTTTTATAAAGTTGTGTATGAGATTTTAGTAGAAAGATGGAATAAAAGCAACTCTTCTATTCATTGTTTAACTCACTATCTCAATCCAAGGCTTTATTGGATTTGATGTTTATTTTTTATTAATCCTAATTGTTTTAATTTTGTTACTTATAACTGTATTTTTTATTAGATATTACAATCACGCTTAGTTAAATGAAGTTCTAAATCGTGTTGCGCTACGTAAGAATATAGAGATATCAATTGAGAGAAATAAATGCTTAAAGACAATTTTCTCAAATATTTAAGAAAGATCAATTATTAATTTGGAGTTTGCTAAATTCTTTGGATTTAGTGGAGTTTTTACTAATTATGACTTCATAGCTTCTAGAGCTATTCTTGATGGAAAAACATGGTAGATGATTTATAGAACTAGTTTCCCACAACTGTAAAATTTAGCTTTCAAATTGTTGGCTCAATCGTATTTGTCTTCTTGTTTTGAAAGAAACTGGAGTACATATTATTTTTATCTATTTATGAGGAGCTTAGAACATTCTCAGGGGAACACAATATTATTGGATGTTGGTGGAGATGCCTTAGCTACATTGGAGGATATTGAAATTATTGAAGTTACTAATCTTTCTCTTGATGAGTCATGCTTAGAAACAGTGCTTTTCGTTGATGAAGTTGGAGGTGACATTGATGAGAGCAATTGAGCTAACATAAATGATGGCACCACTGTTGAATGTGTCAATCTAATTAGTGATAATTATGCTATTATATTGACATTTTGCTATATTTTGCTTTATTTTATTATGGATGACATTGACATTAGGTGTTTTTATAATTTTATTGATATTTTGTATGTAATTTTTATATTGTTAAAATCTACTTTTAGGAGTTTATCATTACAAAGATATCTTAATGATCACATTTGCTATTTTGTGATGTTTTTAGTAGAAAATTTAAAAAAAATATATATTTGTATTAATAATTTATTAAAAATATAAAAACATAAATGATGGCACCACTGTTGAATGTGTTAATCTAATTAGTGATAATTATGCTATTATATTGACATTTTGCTATATTTCGCTTCATTTTATTATGGATGACATTGATATTAGGTGTTTTTATAATTTTTTTGATATTTTGAATGTAATTTTTATATTGTTAAAAACTACTTTTATGTGTTTATCATTATAAATATATCTTAATGATCACATTTGCTATTTTGTGATGTTCTTAGTATAAAATATTAAAAATATATATATTTGTACTAATAATTTATTAAAAATATAAAAACATGTCAATATCGTATTGTGTCTTATTTTTTTGCAATTATATTATGTGGTTGTATCGTGTCATGTTGTGTCTGTGTCCATGCTTCAAGGATGCAAGTATACTTTGACGTGAGTGACAACAATGCAAATGATTGAGCAGACTAAGTTTTTTTTAGAGGCACGATCGACATGTGAGCATATTGCATATGGGATCTCCAAGGATCTTCACAGAATCTTTAAAATGTGAAGAGCATGAGGATGAATAGATATTCGCCGAAACAGAGCAAGTTAAGGCTTTCAGGAACCTCACAAGGTTATCAAATACACTATGGAGACAAATATGTTAGAGCAGGCTTTGATATCATGACAAATAGAGTTGCTCAGATTGCTTGCCCTCCTCTAAAGGATTTTTTCATCATAAGACTTGGTTCTTTATGTGTCATCAACAAATGTTTATCTTCAAGTACAAAACTCAATGCATTTTGAGCATGAGACATTCTAAATTAAAATTCAAGATCATCAGAGCCCCGGTCCAATAAATTTATAGTCAAACACAGCGTCTTGACATGACGAACCTGATGACACTCAAAGTGATCTTGTCCGAGTCCAAATAAGCCTTGATCCAATACTTTAATCATTGTCAATGGCTTTGATGTATCAAATGGAAACTCAAACTGTATTATAATTTGGCATGTTGTTAGTCAAATTGACTGTCTTGACGAGAGGAATCCAACGAGATTCATGTTGCCATTAAGATATCTAAACATTGAAAAATTACATGTGGTCAAGGGAATGCATATAGATTTTCTGATGGAGTGTTTTGGGAGATTGATTAAATTTACCAACACGTCCCTCTCAAAAAATATAAATAGGCCCCCATTCTTTACTTAAATATGAGAAGAGAAGAAAAGAACGAGCTACTTACTAAAACTTAACTTATAAAGTTATGGTGGTTGTCATCGGTCACCCAAGATAATGACCAACCAATTGTTCATCGTTGAATATCATAGTTCGCCATCAACCACCAGTCGTTTTCAACCACCAACCATTGTTGACCACAATCAACTACGATTTTGGTCGCCCTACTTCTGCAACTTTGACTTATGTAGCTAACTCTATTTGATATAGTCTCTAACTATAATTTTGGTAGCTCAGCTATGACTGTCATAGCTATCAACTATGATTTTTGTAACTAATTACATTCGTTATAGTCCCCCTGCAACTATTATTGTTAAACTACAACAATTTTAGTCTCAATTATTCTTAACAATTCTATATGTTGGGTTATTTTAAAATTACTTTTATTTCAACATTATCTTGTAATCCAATCCTTCTTAATACAGGAGAATAGTGGATTTTTGTACTTTCTAATTTCTATTGCATTACTTTGATTGGGTCATGCCTTGTGTTTTTTTTTCTTTTCCAGGATTTTTGCACATAAAAAAATTGTTTCTCTTACATCATTATTTACGTGTGTGTGTGTGTGTGTTGGAAAATTATACTAGACTAAGACATAAGTTTTCTAGCACGCAACAATTTTTATATAAGATAAATTCAAGTGATTTGTTCAATCCGATTTGTCTTAATATAATAGAAAGTAACTATCTTATTAAATTATACATTTTCATAATTATAATAGTTCTTTATACTTATTTCTCGGCATAATTTACAGGTAATAATTTGTAAAATAATAAGCCTAATTTTCATATATTTGTCTCTTTGATAGGATTATAGTTTGGCCATGTGCTTGCTTTATGACGATTCCTGGCGGTACCTTTTCCCTCGAGTTCTGTCAACCTAATTACAAAAGTTGAATTTAGTAATATTTTGTGCACATGATTGTCACCCTAACTGCTTAGGAGTACTTGACAATGTTAATTTTGAAATTAAATTTGACACCTTTTTATAGGTGTGATTTTTTCATTTATATATTTTGTCATTACTTAAATTTGGGGATCTTTCGAGTAAATATTCATCAAAAACTAAAGATTGAATCAACAAAATTAGTTTTTGTAAGGAAAGTTCAAGGTCAACAATTGAAGATATTTTCTCTGTGCATTAGATCCTGGACTACCTCTCTACCGACTTGCTTCAGAACCTGTTTTGAGTCTTTCAACCTTTTGTGTGATTCTGCGCCCTTACAGCAACATTAAAGAACCAATTTTTCGGTATTTTTGGTGGTTGCTTAAATTCTGGGAGATCCTTAAATTATGCCTTTTTATTGATTTCATTGATATGTATGCAGCTCATATGCCATTTACTTCAACAGTCAGTTTACTCTTATTTATAAATTTGGAGATTAAGATGATATGTACTATATTCCATAATTAAGGTGAAGATTGCATGTTAATGTGATTTTAGATAACTAAACAAAAAACCATGTTACATAATTAAGTTGAAATTTTTGTGTCAGGTTGAAATAAATGAATATGGTTGTCGAACAAGAGCCTATGAATCACCATCCCTAAATCGATTCAAGAACTAATATCTAACCCAGGATCTGTCAATTACATGTGGAGTATCGTTTGAGATGGGAGTCATTAAATACATGATTATTAAGAAAAATATCAAAATGGTCTCTTAATACTTTGTAGGGGTCATTTTCGTCCTAGAGTTTATAGTTTTATTGATTTATTCCTCAAGAATCTTTTAATATACGTTGAAATAGCTATGATGATGACTATTTTAGGTGTGTATTCCGCATATATGGATTTCATTATATTTTGATTGTATTGATTGTATCAATACAACCAATAAATCAAAATGCAATAAAATCTGCATGTACTTACTCTACACCTAATAATTGCTCCTATTTTAGCCCGGTTAAAATGATCTATGGACTAATTTAACACTTTTATAAACTCTGGATAGTTGGGAAACTATTTTGGCACCTAGCTCCATGATTATTGGATGAACTAAACTTATAGATTCAAATGTGAATATCAATTTGTTCGATTTGCAAGGTGTTCGAAAGTTGTTGACCAGTTTTTGTGTTCAATCGCCGCCTACAGTATAATAAACTCCTATCTTGCGAACTTTTGGATGGTTTAAAAAAAAAAAAAAACTCAGACACAAATCTCTGCTTTTAATTTTGATGTTTGAATATGGTGGGATTATTAACATGATGAACAGGTATTCTGCCTGCGACACAGAAGTTACACAAAGCACCCATGTCCAGTTGCCAACCAGATAGACATGACTCTACTAATCTGTCCCCTCTGTGCGCAAGGGGTTCGTCTTCTTCCCAACGAAGATCCAGACATCACCTGGGATACTCATGTAAATTGTGACTGTGACCCCTCCACTTATCAGAAACCATCCAAGAAGAAACTCTGTCCTGCCACCGAATGCAACGAAACACTATTTTTCTCAAACACCATTCGTTGCAAGAATTGCAACCAGGACCATTGTCTGAGACATAAGTTTGCTGCAAATCATAACTGCACTGGGCCGAAGAAACCCGATTCCAGCTTCCCTTTCTTAGACGTGCTCAGAAAAAGCCAGAAAAACATCTCCACCCCAAGTCGAACTCCAAATGGCTCTGCAAAACTGAGTTCAAATCTTCTAAATGCGGCGTCGAGCATTCGGGCCTCTGCGGAAGCCGGCATGCAGAGACTGAGCATTGCGACTAAGAAAGTGTTAAGAAAGGCGAAAGATGGTATGGCGCAGGGCCGCGGCGAGCTTGCAGAGCAGTGCCTGCAATGCCAATCAAGGTTCGGTAATGTGAATGCTCTGATTGAGCATGTTGAGAAAGTACACGAAGACTCTGTACCACAGGGTTTAAATATGGCGGCGTTTGATGTTTGTCCCGTGTGCAACGAAACATTCAGAGATCCAGTGTTGTTAGTAGAGCATGTTGAAGAGCACCATGGAGATTCTACTGGGCTTGGAAGGTACGCTAAATCTTCTTTTATGCATGCTTCAGCATTAGTTGGGAGAATTTTGAAGTTTTTTTTGGGAAATTTACATAACTAGGTTTTAATTCTTATGTATTTACATATCTCACACCTAAACATGTGTGTGTGTATATATATATATATATATATTTTTGGTGGGTTAAACTTGTGCATAAAATAAGTGTTTTTCACGTTGAAAAAATAATGAAATTTTTATTTTGATGTGATATTTAAGATTCAAGTGCTCTGTGTAAATGTGAAAGCTTAGGTGTGCAATATGTAAAATACATAAGAATTGTGTGCTATGTATGTAAATGCCCCCTTTTAATTAACTGCGCTGTTTGCGGTTTTTTGTTGGGTAATTTACACAAGTAGCACATAATTTCTATGTATGGACACATCTGACACCAAAATTTTGCTTTCTTACATTTATACCATCCAAGACTTTCATATCACAGAAAATGCCAACCTTTTAACTTTTAAAAATGTGAAATACACATTTTCATACATAGGTAAGGTGGTGTATTTAAAAATTAAATTTGTAGGTGTTAGATGTAAATACATAAGAGTTGATTGGTGGTATGTATACAAATCTTTCTTTTTGTATTTACATATCAAATACTAAACTATTAAGGGTGTGTTTGGGGCAGCTTGTGCTTATCCAGATAAGCCGTTTATCTGGAAGCAGTGTGGTTCGACCCGCTTTCCGCGTTTAGTGTAAAAAATGAACTACGTTTTTGAATAAGCTGCTCAAACACAACTTCCAAATAGTGAGGGCAGATAAGCTGCCCCAAACTAAGCCTAAATTACTTAAATTGCATAAGAAAAAAATTAATAAATTAGGGACAGTTAATCAGAAATTATTGGGTAGTGATTTTTCTGTTTTTTTTTTCTTATTTATATTTTTAACCTTTTTGACAGTTGAGCCGGAGCATTTTTATCCTAGAGAAGCTCTTGCTGCTGTGCCGGATAATGTTTAAATTATGCACAAGGCTTGAGCGCTGGCTGTTTGGTTTCCTTTTTTTTTTTTTTAGAATTTATCCTCACAATTGGGTAATTTTCCTTCGAGGAATTGTAAGTTTATTTTCATATCCAAAACGCTTCATCTGATGAATTACACTTCTCACCATTTGAAATTTAAGCAGTTGATAGTGTGTCATAGTGGGGAAAAATTTGCATACATAAGGCGTACGCAGAGCTGCGTACGTCTGTAACCTGATTTTAGGAGGTTATAACCGCGTTATACCCCTTGTAATCTTCTTGTAACCTACATGTACCTTCTAGTAAGTTTTACGCTGTTGTTTTCATACACAGGTAGGTTACATGGAGATTACAGGGGGTATAACACGGTTATAACCTCCCAAAATCTTCCATGTAACCTGTTTGCAGGTTACAGACGTACGTAACTTTGTGTACGTCTTATGTACGCAATTTTTTTCCGTCATAGTGACATTTTTTTTTGTTATAGAAATGTCCTTACAAAATATTTTGGTTCAGTGTAGTATCATAACATTAAGTTTATTTTGAGTAGATTTTAATTGATTAATTATATACCATATTAATTTTTAGTTAGATTATTCTTCGCCAAAATTTTTTCTTATATTGAGAGGATAATTGAAATCTTTTAGCGAAAAAGTATACATCCACTTATGTTCTATTATTTTCATAATTTCTAAACTTTATAAATAATTTCTAATTATAGTAGATATTTAATTAAACATCAATTTTGTTGATGTATATGTTATCTTAGTCTTGAATGAAAATGTGTATTTAAGTTTTTAAAAATCAAAATGTTAATATTTTTTTTTTATGTGATATGAAAATTTTGGGTTGTATAAATATACAATAAGAAGTTGAGATTTTAGACACCATTGAAAATGGTAAATCTCTAATTCCTTCTATTGAAAAACCTCCTGAACTTGAGATGAAGGTGACCAATGCTCGTTTAAAGTATGCTTTTCTAGAGCATTTTACAGCATGAGGGGTAGTTATATTTGTCTCCTGAAATGGCATTTTTAACAAAGTGAAATTTATTTGTGTCCTTGCACACAAATGGCACTCAAAATCTTGCTATTTACAAAATTAACACCCACTTTCATTCAGTTAAAAGATTCTCAATCAAATTTTAAAATTCACAATGAAATTCCAGCCCATATTTTTTATTTTATTTTATTTTTTCAAATTCTGACTCATAATTGCACTTTTTTAGCGTTAGTTCATAAAAATATCATGAATACTAATTTTGTAAATAGCAGAGTTTGAAGTGTTATGCATGTAATTATCCCTAAATTATATTAAGCCTGAATGGCTTTTGTTTTGAATTTTACCGTGACTCCGACTTTAAAGTAAAAAATTAAACCTTCAACAGTTAAGTCATGAGTAAGCGCAAAACTGCACAGCACAATGATATCAAAATTGGTTCAATTCGAGCCAAATCGGATTAAGATCAAGTTGTTAAATCACTTTTGGAAACATTAGTACAGAGTTAAAATATTAAATGGATTTCAAATTTGACATGCTTACATTTAAAAAAATTTGGGCATGAAAAATTATTATAAATGATAAATATTATATCTCACACATTTATATCTAATAATTTATTATTAGTATTTTAATATCTAATAATTAATATTTAAATCATGATTATTTTACTCTTTAACACAACATGATTCACCTCGTTACTTGATTGACTCAACAACTTAGAATTTAGCTCGAGCTCAAGCTAAAACTAGATTAATGAATCAAATTATTTGGGATCACTTTTATTTTTATATTTATTTTTTTTTTGGAGACAAAAGATTTTTATGATTAATTTTAAATATATATTAATTTACTTTTAGAAAGAAAAAATAAAGAACCGTTTCAAATAATGCTATCAACAGGGGAAGTTGTGAAAAGCTAATTAATTGGCAGGTCTTCTCAAACTATTGCAGGCTGCGGTTCAAATATCAGAGCAGAGGGAGAGGGAAGACGAAAGGTTGCTTGCAGATCGATGAAGAATAGATGCTGGAGCTGCAAGAAATGGGAGCAGCATTTTTATTGGGATCATTTTCAAGAATCAAACTATCGCTTTGTGAAGGTCATGAATGGAGATTTCACTCACAAAATGGTATTTTTCATATGCGGAATGCTGAGGCATGTATTACTTTCATTGTCATAGGGTTTTTTTGCAGTTTCTCTGTAGTTCAAAAGCTGCTATTATGTCGTTGGAAATCTGTTATGAAGTTTTTGGATTTATTCTTTTGATATCTTGATGGAAATGTTATTCGCAACTATCATTTCCTTAATCTCGCATTTAGAAAACCTGTTTTTGCGAGGGCAGAACATATTTTATTTTGAATAAGGTAAAGTTATAATTTAATATAATATATTTATATTATAGAAAAAATTCATATGATATGATTAAAAACTTTTAAATCCTACAACAACAGCAACAACAAGCTTTTATCCCACTAGGCTCCATTTGGGCCGACTCCTTGTGAAACTGCTGAAGAATAATCTATTATAGTAAAAAGCTACGATGATTATTAATTTTTGTTTTTTTGAGAAAGTTAAACTGCAGCTAGAAAGTTTCAGCTGCACCTAGCAAGAAGCGGTGGGAAAATGCTGGTTTCAGCTACAGTTTTTCGAAAAAGGTACTAAAACGGAGTTTATGTAAACGGCCAAAGCAGCGGTGATGTGTCTCACCGCTGTGCCAAACGGAGCCTAAGTGAGGTTGGCTAGATGAATCTTTTTTCTCCGTGGTGTCCTATTGAGTATCATATTTTCATTTAACTCTAATAGATTAAGTTCATTTTTTTATACAATATGTTCAAGTATTTCTAAGTTTGGCTCTACTTTTCTTAACATAAGTGAAATCTAAAACATCTACTCTCCAAATCGAATCATTGAATGGTCGACATTTAATGTGACCAAACCATCTAAGATGACTCTCTCTAATCTTATCTACCACTGAAGTTACATCAACTCTTTCACGAACACATTTGTTTCACAGTTTGACTCTAAATGTCAAGCCACTCATCCACCTAAGCATTCTCATCTCAACAACATTTAAATTTGTTTTATGCTACTCTTTTAAAAGCCAACATTTTGTGTCATAAAACATTGCAGGTCTCACCATCATCTTATTAAATTTTCCTTCATGTCCAAGGGGTACTTTTCTATCAAAAAATAGGTTTGATGCATTCCTTCACTTCAACCAACCAACCTAAATTCCACTAATAACAACCCCATTTATATCACCACCAACAAACCTCCACCTTTTACATTCGGGGCTTGAGAATGACGAGATTTAACAACTCTTGGACTTAATCAATCATAATGAGGCTGATTAGAATAATTAGAAATATAAAAAATTTAAATTTTTTAATCTCAACAATTACATCACTAACTTGTAATATTAAATTCATATTTGGACTAATCGACTTAAATCCAGAAATAAATCTACTTAATTTTATGTTAAATAATATTTATCAATTTTTTCAAAGCCAAATTTATCATATCGATGTTGTGAAGGATGAGCTCGCAAGCTACAACAGAACAATCAGATTTACTAAATCCAGATTTATCATATCGAATTTACAAAATCGGGTTTATTTTTTTTTCTACTATCATTAAATACAAACAAATACTTTCATTCTTTCATTCTTCAAACTTAATGTTTGGCACCACATATTATTTACATATATGATCAAAGGAGTTTCCGCAGAAGTTCTCCAAGAACTTCAGAGTAGAACTCATTGATGTGGTTGAACTGGTAGCACCAAACGGTGAGTCATGGGATATTGACCTCTGTAAGGAACATGATCTCTTTGTTAAGAAAAATAATAAACGACGACAATAAAACGAAAAATGGATCTAGAAAATTACACCAGAAAAGGCGACACCAGATTTACGTGGTTCGGCAAATTGCCTACGTCCACGGAGCTGCAGAGGATTTTATTAGCTGAGGAAATTACACCGTCGAGCGCCTCGACGTTTACAACAAAACTTTATTTTTTTCTCCTCTCTTCCTCTCTCTCTCTCCTCTCTTCTCCTCTCTAATTTTTCTCTTAAGTCACGTGAGAAAAAAAAAAATCAAAGGAATTACTTTTTAGCAAAACCCAAGAAAAGCTACAGCGGCCTTTTCTTTTTCCCTTTTTCTTTTGCACAACGGAGAGACTTGGAATTAGGTAGGAGAGATATTTTCCAGGGCTTTGGGTTATCCTATTTATAGCCAAGCAAGTAAGATTTACTTAAAGGCAACCATAATTATATTTGGCAATTCTG